GATGGGGCTGGGGCGACAGCTAAAGGGGTCACGTAGCACTCCTGCGGACCTCGCGCTCAGGACAATCAGATCTTTCCCTGACTCCGGTTCTAGTTTCCTCACCGTGGTCACAAGCAGTGACAATTCACTTCAAGTTACCCTAACCATCACAGGTCAATACCCATGTGGAACATTCAAACCGCTTCCAAATCTCAAGGGCAGTTGAGCACATGGCGCATCCCAGAGGTGCGTATCAACGTCTGCTAGATTACTTTTTTCTTCATTGAATGCGGTGTTACCTCAACTCGAATAAGACTCAAACCCGCTGGGTTATAAAGACAGAAGTGTCACTCAATTACAATCGTTATCCCTGCGAACGATAGGGCGTGCGTCGCCACCACACGCCCTATCATTTGCAGGTACAACGACTACACTTTGATCGCACTGCGTTACTGGATGGTCAGAAAGTCCGGTTGATTGACTCTGCCGAAGTAGAAAATCGGAGAATGCGTGGAAAGAGCCTGATTCGTATTGATCTTATGGTCGAAAAAATCAGAAATCCGATAAAATACTGATCGCAAAACTTTTCTACCAGCACTGCCAGCGCATTTCGTCCATCCCCTGCTTGAGAGGTGTCGAAAAAATCAAGTCGCACCCAACCCTTTTTGGGGAATCACCAATTCTCTCCGCTGTATAAACGTTTCGGGACGCGCCGCGCACCCAACAAGCCCAACTCCATCTGGAGCACGCATGACAAGGTTTCTTTAGGCCAAAGCGTCCTGAAGAACTTTACTTTTCTGGTTATAAAACGACTGGGAAAATGCAGTTCCTCACCATGCGGCTTGGCTATTTCTTCTCTGAAGTATTGTCCCACTCCTCGATGTTTTTCATCTGTATGCCGTACAATCTGATCGGCTAGCCATCCATAGGTAAGCAGATGATATCCGCTGCTTCGTCCAGCTGGTAGCTTCGGTGTTTCACTCTCTATTGCCTTCCTCATCAGGTTATGATCCCTTGCCATTTCCTCAGTGATGGGCGTATCGAAATACGGTAGACCAGCCTAAATGAAAATTGACTGATTACGCAGATAAAGAAAATGTGAAGGGAGTGTCTGAAAGTCAGAGAGTCTTACAAAGTCCATAAGGAGGACGACAGACTCACATTTTCCAGGCTCACGTTTCGAGTTTGGAAGTGGGGATCACCATCTTCTAAGGGAACTCTCTTGGAGACTGTTCTGGTTAACATGGAT